TGGACACTTCCAGGGATGGGGCAGCCACAGCTTCTCTGGGAATTCCATCCCAGCCCCTCCCCACCCTCCTAGGAAAGGATTTCATCCCAATTAATCCAAGCTAGATGCTGCTGCCCATTTACCTCTCAGGAACGATGATTTCCAGGTTGAATATTCCCTTCTCATAGGGTGTGTCTGCACCTCCTAAGATTTCTTCAGGAGCAAGATGAAAACAGAAAGGTTACATTCCAAACCCTTTGGATTTGTCCAGCAGCCTCCAGGGAGCTCCCAGAGCTGGAAAGTGCTCAGATCATGGAATCCTGGAATGGTTTGGCTTGGAGGGACCTCAAAGCCTACCCAGTCCCACCCTGCCCTGGGCAGGGACACCTCCCACCATCCCAGGCTGCTCCAACCTGGTCTTGGACACTTCCAAGGATGGGGCGTCCTCCGAGAAATCCATTCCAGGGCCTCCCCACCCTCCCAGCCAGGAATTTCTTCCCATATCCCATCCATCCCTCCCTCTGGCAGTGGGAAGCCATCCCCCCTTGTCCTGTCCCTCCATCCCTTGTCCCCAGTCCCTCTCCAGCTCTCCTGGAGCCCCTTTTGGCCCTGCCAGGGGCTCCAAGGTGTCCCCGGAGCCTTCTCTTCTCCAGGGGAACATTCCCAGCTTTCCCATCCTGGCTCCAGAGCAGAGGGGCTCCAGAATCCTGGAATGGTTTGGGTTGGAGGGACCTCAAAGCCCATCCCATTCCACCTCTGCCCTGGGCAGGGACACCTCCCACTATCCCAGGTTGCTCCAACTTGGATTTGGACACTTCCAGGGATGGGGCATCCTCTGGGAATTCCATTCCAGGGCCTCCCCACTCTCCAAGGGAGGAAGCCAGGAATAAAAAGTGTCATTTGGGCTGAGAGCAGTTCGACCCCTCAGCGATGAAAACTGAGGGTAGGGTAGCCAAGGTAAGTTTTAAAAAAAGAACCCAATAATAAAAATAAATAAAAATGAAATAAATAAACGCCAAAGAAATAAAAAGAAAATTAAAAAAAAACACAAAATAAAAATAATAAAAACAATATAACAAACAGATCAATGAAATAAAATCAATAAAAATCACTGCCAGTTAAAATCACTGCCAGTTAAAATCACTGCCAGTTAAAATCACTGCCAGTTAGTTAAAATCACTGCCAGTTAGTTAA